TTATACCATTGCCGCATCAAATTACACTACCAGTAGAAAAATACTGCTACCATAGATTAGCTAATTTTTATAATTAAAACTTTTTATAAATATATTTATTAATTTTATATTTATTATTGATTTGAAATTGTGGATCCCTCCCTCTATACAATAACTAATCTTCCTAGTATGTTTAGCGAGATTGCACAATGTCCTATTTAAAGTTTTCGCGATTCAGATATTGCCACGTCATCGACCAGATGAGTAGAGCAACCTTATTGAAGGAGACATACCTTCAATCTGACATTACTCCCTCCGGTCCAAAATAAGTGATTTTTTTTTTGGATGTTTTCACACAGATTAAGAAATTCACCTGTTAGCATTAATTAGCAATGGAATTGACCATATTAACCTTTACTATCTCACATAAACACTTCTAACACATATTCCAACACTATTTACTCCAAGGACAATGTAGGAAAAAAAATAATTAATTCATTCTTGAAATTTGAAAAAAAATCACTTATTTTGGACCACAAGAAAAAGGCCAAAAAATCACTTATTTTGGACCGAAGGGAGTAATGTTTTAGGTGGGACCTACTTGACTTTGTGAAACACGTGAATTCCCCAAGCTTACAATGCGATACACATTGATTGGAGTTCTTCCAAAATATCTGGGTAGCTTTCTAGGAAAAGTTTATATCTATATCTATATTTATCTATATTTATATCTATACTTCTATACTATATTAAAAGCACGAAGGCCTTTACCGAAATATCGTTCGTCTTTTTTGCCCTTTAAAATAGAGTTTTATATTGGACAAAATAGTAATATTATTGTTTTCCTAATATATAGGATTCTAAAATCTTATAATTTTAGTTATTAAATCTTTCCTTATTTGAATTATGTAAGAATTCCTAATATTTAGGAACTTGTATGTGAATCTTACCTTACATAAATTGGTAAAAAATAGATTAACCCACAAAATCGTATATTTAATGCAAAAGCATTATAACAATGAACCACAAGAATTTCTTAAAATTTATATCCAAATAATAAGGTTTAAAGCATATCGGCCACCTTGACATGGTAATATATTTATTTCGACCTTGACATGGTAATGGAATTTACCATTATTCTACTTTTGAAACAGTCTTTAAGCACAATTTCATGATTTTTACCTCAATTCGCTTACTTTTGGCTATTGTTGCACGTTTGGATTTGGAATTACATCAAATGGACGTGAAGACAGCTTTTCTCAATGGAGAACTAAACGAAAAGATCTACATGGAATAACATGTAGGCTTCATCGTTAAAGGCCAAGAAAAGAAGGTCTGTAAATTGAAAAGATCTATTTATGGCCTGAAGCAATCTTCAATGCAATGGTATTTGAGATTTCACATGGAGGTGATCTCATATGATTTCACCATGATCAATGAAGACCATTGCATTTATGTGAAGAAGTCCAATGAGATGTTTGTAATTCTTTCTCTTTACGTGGACGATATTTTATTGGCCGGAAATAATTTGGAGTATTTGAAAACTATCAAGTCATGGCTTTCGAGGTCATTTGACATGAAAGATATGGGTGAGGCAGATTATATCCTTGGAGTTAAGATCCAAAGAGACCGTTCCAAAAAATTACTGAGTCTATCTCAAGAAACTTATATAAAGAAAATTTTGGAGCGTTTTCGCATTAACAGTTGCAAATCCATGGATACTCCTATAGCGAGAGGTGAAACTTTAAGCCTTGAAATGTGTCCCAAGACTGAAAATGAAAGGGAAGACATGTCCCGAGTTCCATATTCAAGTGTTGTCGGGAGCTTGATGTACGCTATGATGTGTACTCGCCCAGATATTTGTTATGCCGTAGGTCTGGTTAGCACGTATCAATCCAATCCTGGAAGAGATCATTGGAAAGCCGTGAAGAGAATTTTCAGATACCTGAAGGGAACTGCAGATTATTCACTATGTTATAGTGGAAATGATTTATACTTGAGAGGATATACAGATGCTGATTGGGCTGGTGATCGGAATGATAGAAAATCAACACCCGGTTATACTTTCTTACTTAATGGTGGTGCTATATCATGAAAAAGTAAGAAACAAACTTGTACAGCCCTTTCAACAATGGAAGCTGAGTTCGTGGCTTGTGTGTCTGCAGTACAAGAAGCTATTTGGTTGAAGAGATTCTTTGAGCATTTAGATATTACAAAGAACTCTCAGGGTCCCATGACTCTATATTGTGATAGTCAAACGGCTATTGCATCTGCAAAAGATCTTAAGTATCACAGCAAGACCAAACACATTGACATCAAGTATAACTTTGTAAGAGACATGATAGCAAGTGGAGAGATAAATTTACAATACATTCCTACGCGAAGCATGATAGCTGATCCTTTACAAAGGCGATATCTAGAGACCTGTTTGAGAAACATGTTATGGCTCTAGGTTTGCGAAGGATATGAACATATTTATGTATTGTAAAATGACTTAAGTATTATAATACACTCATCAATATTTGACTCTTGAATTTGTGCTTATATCTCGTATGCATGTGAAGAATGTTTTGTTGATAAAGTGTGTCGAACAAGTCGCGAGATTGGCTCTCTCACACGAGCAATCGCCTCTTACGTTAAGAATCGTGAAGAGATGAGACCTTATAGAACCTTGGATAATGCGAGGTTATATTTACTTGTAAAGGTCGGTCTTGACAACTAATCAGACTTACGAATTTCACTATTCGATTATGACTTGTTTTGCAAGCCAGATGCGAGTTTCTCTAAGAAGATGGTTTGAGGATTATTGAAGTGAGAAACTCGGGTTAGACATTTGGAGGTGTCTAGACCAAAATCTGTACGGTGTTGAATGATTAAAAGAATAAGGCACACGCACCAATATAAAGTGAGAACACCGTAACATGTGTTTCATACCACGTGTGCAATCGACCATGGGATAATGAAAGAATGAATCCATGCTTCTTCATTGTGTGAGATCCCAAAAAAGTTATATCAACTTTTATTGGAATACCTTTGACCTTTTACTGTTTCTTGAAGTGCCAATCAGTGTTGCTACTTTAGCATGTCACTAATAGCCATGAGTGATTAGGCGATGCAATGTATGTCTAGGAAAGCGTTGATTGGGAATGGAAAGATTCGAGTAGAAAGGGAAGACAAATATTTTTTTTATTTAATTTGTATTCATAGGTCGACCATTATACTTACCATGATGGTATTGGGTGTAATTATGGATACAATGTTATATATGAACTCGAGTGACTTTTCGAGGATGAGGGATCGGATAACTAGCTACTAGAGTAGCCAACAATGTTTGGGGTATTGCGAGTAATAATAAGATCCTCATGGTAGTAGTGAATCCTTTCCGCATGTGATTGGATTTCTACACAGAGCTATTAAATAACCTTAAAGGGTTTAAGAATATTATGGCTCTTAATGCTCGTAGGTCGCACGAACTATTTGCCAGTATGAATTATGTGTGTTGTTTTCATGGTTGTTACTAGTTTGGATCTAGTCCACCTGTGCGAAGTGGGAGATGGTGGATATTAGGTTTGGGTCGTGGGTCGCCCATGTGGACTGACTCGGCCTATTTTAAAAGAGATTTAATTAAGGAGGTTATTTATCACTCCTAAAAGACTACCGCACGTTATTTGAGAGATGTGAGAACGTGGAGTGGTGGTTTTCATCGGTAGTTTTTCCTCTATTCCTCTTCTATATATCTGTCCTACAGAAGAACTCTCAAGTGTGAAAACTTTCTCTTCTTCTCCCAACAAAACACACGTACAAAGAAGGAAGGCTTTAGTTTGTGAAATAAACTTTGTTTCCAAGAGATTCAAAGTTCGACTTGGGGCAATTCTTTTGGTGGTGAGTTCAACAATTCTTCCGCTGCGTTGACAGGTACGCTAGTGTTGTTCTCGCCCCGTGATTATTAGACTATCATTAACACTGGCATTTATTAAAGGTTTCTTTGACATTTTCCAGAGCTTCAATAAAACTGTGGGCAACTGCTAGTTAAGGAAAGGCAGTATTGAATCTTTACTTGAAATTTTCTGTCTTCCTTACACTACGGCTCAATTTGAGATGCACGATCTACTTCCTTCTCTATTTGTTAGTCAACTATTAACTTATTTCTTTTAAATAATTCAACACCCAAGCATAAGAAAGAGCATGAAATCAGGTTTGCTACGAGGTGAATCAAAAGAAGGAGCAGTGGTACTTTAATTTTCTCTTCCCCCCTCGTTGTTAAAATTCTTTTGACCGCATTGTAAAATCAGGACAGCAATAACTTTCTATTATTGACTCCAACTCGTGACACTTGGTTTAAATTTTAAAAGAGATTATTCAGAGACCATCCAGTTGTTCCTTTTGAAGAACCAAATTAATTAATTAAGATTACAAATATGGAAATACTAATATTCAGTAGTTGCATATTTTTCTATCACCAAATTGAACCCATAACTATTATTAAACCAAATAATTAAGCAAATACGAGGGACAAAATATTAGTCCCCAATAAAGTTCACCTACAAAAGAGAATAACCTTGTCAGCAAAAGTTTCTGGTTATACATAGAGAATCTGGATCAAGTTCACAAACGTTTCACTAACAACTGTTTGTCTTAGGGAAACCAAAACTTGTAAGAGAGAAATCACATAAAACATCTAATTTCAGTTCTTTAAGTTATGATCTAAAACGATTGTTATAGTATTAGCTTGACATGGTGGCGGAGCCTACATACAATGAATCCACAACCTCGAAAAGTTACAGAAATAGGATACAAATAAATCTTTTATGGTTACATATTTAGAATTTTGAAACCTCTTAATAAGAAAATAAAGGTTCAAATCTTAGTTATGATATTTTTAAATTTTTTGAATCTCATTATCAAAATTCCTGATTTCGATACTGACTAGATAATCGTACAATAATGGTAACGGCAATTCATCTTCTTCCACATAGATAAAATTGTAACGTCCGTTCATCTTCTTCCACATAATAATAGAGTAGAAATGAATCAAATATTGGAAATAATTTCTGTACCTTCACAAGGAAGGACAAAGGTATGTGTACACATTACTATCTCGAGACCTTACACTGTGGGAATATAATATAGCAAGTATGTTGTTGTTTGTTGTTGTATAAAAGAATTAAATAAACAAAACAAGGAATGCATGAAAAAGCACAATTTTCATTCATCAAACAATCCATTATGATAAGTATATGTAGGCCTTTGATTAAAAAATCCTCACCAATCATTCTTCCCCTTTTCATCTCCTTATCTATTTTCTCTTTGTTTTTTCCCCTCAATTTACTTTGTAGAGTTTCCCTTTTGGCACTTGTCCTTAATCCATTTAAACCCAAGAGAAGTACCACTCTTCACCTTCTTTGCACCCACCACAGCCGCAGACTTTGCCTTGTCAGCCCCCACTGCCGCCGCTGCCTTCGCCTTGTCAAAACTCGCCGATGCCGCCGCCGTTACCTTCTCCATCTTCTTGCCGCTGCTTTTTCCTTTGCCGCCATCATCTTCATATCCGACGTCGTTTTGACTGCCCCACTGATCCGCCCAACTATTTCCGTTACTTCCCATTCTTGTGAGAAAAAAAATTGAATCTTTAACAACCAAACACAACAAAGTTAGAATCTTTAGCAACCAATAAATAAATTTTGAATCTTTAACAACCAATCAAACAAAAGTTGGAATATGTAGCAACTAAAACAAGAAAAAACTACAATTTTTGGCCAAAAAAAAAAAAAAAAAAACACCACAAAAGGTGCAATCTTTGGCAACCAGACACAAAAATTTACAATCTTCTTTTTTTGGATCAATCAATAAAATTAGAATCTTTGGCAACCAAAAAGAGTAAAAAGTGCAAAACAGAAGAGAAGATTTTACCTGAGAGATTGGTGGTGGGAAGTGATGGGGTTGCAAGATTTTAATAGCTGCTGTAGGGAGAAACTGTTTTTGTGAATTTGATATATGTAAACACAGACCAATTTGTAAGAATGGTATTTGTGATTGTGATATATGTGAACAGAATATAAAGGGACCAATGTAAGAAAGGAATTTAAGGCAGTTAGCTATTGTAAATTGTAATCTCATTGGGATTGTTACCCAAAAAGAAAAAGAATACAAAATCCCATTCGGATTCAACGCAATGCTGTCAGGAATCTTCTTATGTTACGTTTCAGTAAATTGAGGCTAAAGTTTGGTCGTATTTCTATTTTGAACCTTATACTCTTATCTTTGAGGATTTTTCATTAATATTTGACCGAATAGCCTAATAGACCCCTGATGTTTGCCAAAATCCCTCTAAATGTTAGTTAAACTTGATACATTTCACATGTGTAAATAATTAAAATTCTAACAAATTACATGTGATCTTAACAAAGCATAGCTTATTGCCCACTACCAGAGTAAGTGAGTAACCTATTAAAATTGGGATAAATTTTATAAATGTTCATATAACTATGACTTTTTTTTCACCAAAGTCATATAACTTTGTTTCCTCACAAAAAAATCATGTCGGAAAATAAATTTCCAGGTAGTATTTCATATTTTATGTTTTTTTTTATTTTCAGTCTAATAAATAATTACCCAATTAAAATAGAAGAAATATGAGTTTATTTTTAGCCGAACCAAAAAATAATAGCCGATAAAATATTTTTTTATATATATGTGTAGTATATGCATATAACATAACATTCTATATATATTTTGGCTAGCAAATGCAATTAGTTTCGGCCGGCCGGTTAATTTTATATTTTTCCCTTAAAATAGGAATGACCCAACCCAGCCTGACCCAACAACCATGTACGTAAGTTAAAATAATACTAAAAATGAATTCTTCCCCCATAAAAAATTTAGTTTGGAATGCATGAGATTCTGAAGAAAAAAAATAAAGAAATAAAAGGTATAATTAGAGAGCACTTGAAATAAAAATGCTATCAATTTGAACAAAAATCTTGAAAAGAAAAATAAAAGATAGAAGTATTATGTTTTGAAGGATTTACTATTCACTTTTAGTATTGTTTTAATTTTTATATATATGAGTATTGGGTCGGGCGGGCCAGGTCGGGTTGAGTCATTCCTATTTTAATTGGATTATTATTTATTAGACTAAAAATAAAATATAAAAAAATAAAAATAATAAAATACTACTAAAAATTTATATTTTTCGATCACTATGATTTTTGTGTTAGTTAGTAAAAGTTTTATGATTTTTATACAAGAAAACATAGTTATGTGACTTTGATTTTTAAAAAAAAGCCATAATTATATGATTGTCGTGTAAGAAAATAAAGTTATATGACTTTGGTGAAAAAAAGTCATAGTAATATGACCATTTGTGAAATTTACCCGTTAAAATTGCATGCGTAAAGATCTTTCAACCATTTGTGGATATAAATATTATTCCTTTGTTCTAGTTTATGTGAACCTTTTGGAGTACAAGAGTTAACTTGACTAATTTCTTGTACGAATTTGCATATAGAATTTCTAAATTTTTTAAAACAAATTATGCTATAAGTCAAAATAGTTAATAATAAAAATATTTAAAAAGTATTTACAAAAATTGTGGTCAAAGAAAACCTTTTTTTTGACTTCCCAAATAGTAAAAGCTTCACATTAAGTGGAATAGAGGGAGTGTTTCTCTTTATTTCATGTGTTAGTCAGGGGCGGATCCACCCCTTTAGGAAGGGGTGGCATGGCACCCGCTGAGATGATACAATTTTTATATACGTATGTTTAAATTTTCTGGAACTAGATTAAATATGTGATCCTGCCACCCGCATTCGTATACTAGACAAAGGTGGCATGACTGGTAGATATTTTTGAAAGCTTTTCTCGTATGTAAAACTCAAGTTTGAAATTTATCTTAAACGTTGTCCGGCTTAATTTCCCTTTAGTTTATGCTTTTTATTTCCTTTTCTCCCAGTGATTTTCCTTTTCGGTTACCTCCCAATTTTCTATTTGGTGTTTAATTATTTTATATATTTTTCTTTTCTCTATTCTATTATTTTATATGTGGTTTCTAGCAAGAACATTCAAAAAAGAGACTCCAAAACTTTAAAATTATATAAAATAAGCATTCTTCTTAATCTAAAGTTTATGAGTTTTCTTGTTTCAAATCCGAAAAACTTGGGTCTTAATGCGAATTTTGAATTGAGATAAAACAAATCATCTTTTATTATTATATCATAAAAACTTGTGTTGCTCTATGGTTATTTAATATAATTTAAATCTCTTTTCTATTATATTATGATAAAAATTTCGCAAGCATTGCTTAAATAAATATGAGATTTATGATTTTATTTCTTGGGAATTTATAGTTATTAATTTTATACTTAAGGGTATAATTTATATTGAAGATATTTTTTAAAATTCTCTTATTTTAATTGATGTAATTTCCTTATTGAAGATGTTGTCTTGCTCGTATAATTTATTTTTAATATATCGAAAAGATGTAATTTCCTAGTAAAAATGTTGATTTTACTTGTGTTGTTATAATATGATTCCTTAATTAAAATGCTAATTACGTTCGTTTTTTTTTATATCTGAGGTGTAATTTTTATCTTTGCAAATAAAAAATAGAGTATCTAGTAGGTTCACCCAAATAAACTAAAAAAAAAACAAATAATTGTTCCTAATAAATTCCGTATTAGCCATTATAAGGTATACATTCAAGAAAATTATGGCACCCGCCACCTTCAAATCCTAGATCCGCCTCTGGTTAGTTACCTACCTTAATTTGCATTAGCACGTTTAATATACGTTCATTTTTCATTTTGAAATAATATTTGTGTAGAAGTAATTTGGTTTAGTCTAGTATCTTGATAGGAGAGTTGAAAAGGTAAAAATTGCATGGGGCACCCTATTTGGTCGTCCCCTTTTAACTTATATCCGTTTTGTCTTCCGTTTGCATCCGTACCTATTTTTTTGTTAAAAGCATTTTAAAAAGACGATTTTGCCCTTCAAGACTATTGACAAAACTGTAGACTACAGGACAAAACTTCAGCATGTTTTGGCATGAAGTTTTAGCAAATGAACTAAATAACTTAAGCATGTTTAGTCTGAAGTTTTAGCAAATAAACTAAATAACTTGAGCATATTTAGTCTGAAGTTTTAGCAAATGAACTAAATAACTTAAGCATGTTTAGTCTGATTTTTAGCAAATGAACTAAATAATTTCAGCATGCATTATCAAAAACTCGTTAGAAAATTACATACTGCAAGACAAAAACTTAAGCGTGTTTAGTGTGAATGTAAAACAACTTCATGCTATATTAGCATGAAGTTTTAGCTTCAACATGAAACAACTTCATGCTACATTAACATGAAGTTTTTGGTTTTTTGATAAAGCTGCTGAGAGGAAAGGAGGAGATCTTTTTTCATGAATGAGGTTGCAGATCACGCGATTTATCAGGGGTGTAAGTGTCATATTATTACGTATTTTTTGTCAACTGGCTACCAAATCAATAATTTTAAAAAATAAGGTACAGGTTAAATGGTGGCACAAATATATGGTACGATTGCAAATCCCCGTTGACAAGCGATTGACTGATATAAGCAATGTAACTTACGAAAAGTTTTAAATTTTTATATTAAATACTATTTTTGAATGTACCAAAGAAACAAATAAGTTGAGGAGGCGTTGCTTTGAAAACTTAGTTAAAATATGTCTATTTTTAATTTTTTTTTTTTCAAAAAGTTTTAATACTAACTTTCTTCAAAAAAAAAAAAAAAGTTCAATGAAGGACTTTCAGAGTGTTTTTTATTGGAACTTTTTTTCACTCACATAACACACACAAATTTTAATAAGAACTGCAATTATCCGAAAAATACATTTTTCTCCAATAAAAAAATCTGGTTGACTTCTAATTTTCAAATCTACGCTTGAGATTTTTCTCGAGCTTTAGCCTTTAGCTATCTTAACTGACGCACCATAATTCTATATTAAGTTTCTATAATTTAAACATATTTCCTATAGCTAAGGGACCATTCCTGCATAGTTGTGGGTTTGGAGTAACTAACTGCTCCATATATGTTCGGAAGCAGAGTTAGAATTTGAAGTTTATGTGTTCTGAATTCATTACCAAACTCATAATTTTGTCTTAATTAATGGGTTCGTAATTAATTATATATATTTTATAAATTTTCTACTGCAAATACAAAGTTTAAGCAAAAGCTACTGGATTCGTCTAAACTCACGGCTAATGCTCCCCTCCGCCCCTTCTCTTCGCTACAAAAGCCAAGAGAAGTTCAGCTAAGTTTGAGGGAACATTTACATTTTCGTACCTAGTATTTTTGGTTTCTTGCAATACACAAGGTAACCTGACTTTGTTATTATCGTTAAACAATAAGGTATCATCCTAACGGCAACAAATTTGCTTGCCTTTTAAAGCCCTCAAAGCTTTTCTCTTATGATGTTATACTTCAATACCACACAAGAGGGGGTGATTTGTGTGGTACCCAATTTTCGCTTAACTTGATTATAGAATGACCTGGTTCTTCTATGTGTTCCAACTACTACTATTTGCGGAATAATAAGTAAAGAAAATAAAGAACACAGAGATTTTTACGTGGAAAACACCTAGCTCAAAAGGTGAGAAAACCACGACCTACTACTCAGTAGGATTTTCCCAAACTTCTACTAAAATCACTAAGCCAAAAACTGCATTTACAAAAACTCTTTTGTAAACCTAGGATTAACTCTAATCCCGTTGTGGCAAACAGCTTCAACTGCTGCGACAACTTCAAGTTAACTCTAACTTGAACACTCTAAGTACCTAATACAATTGCTTCTATAAAAGCTGAAAGGTACAATGTAAAATCATCTACTACAATTGAACTAGAATAAAAGATAGACACTTGGAACCGGTTCTTCTATCTGGTTCAAGTAGCTTCAGGATTGCACGCTTGAATCACACATAAATTGCTTGCAAAATTGCCTTGCTATTTTGCTCTCAATTCACGTTTAACTTCTGCTTATGTGCATTACCTGTAAAAGAGAACAACACTGATATTTAAGGAGTTAGTCATAAGAGATTGACTAGGATATAGATGCTACTCTTCCATCGTGAAAGAGTTCTAGTTGATCTCATACTCTAACTCTTATCCTTTTCTTAAACCGTGTTCTCTTTGTGTAAGGAGTCTTTCTCCTTATCCAA